AAAACTATTTAAAATTAAAACGGAACAGTAGAGAAAATCCGATCAGAATGACAAAATAAACTAAGCATCCACTGGAAAGAATCCCAATATCTACAGACGGATCCGTTTCGGCCTATCAGGTCTCATCAGTGCAGCTAGGGTATAGACCCAAACGAAACGTTCGACCAGCTTAGGTAGTGCCCAAACTAGTCCCACGACCACTAATGATTACAGAGCCAAACCAAGGCAATATATATACACAGCCCAGGTGTGAAAGCAAAGCACTGTATATGTGTATATATATATATATAATTTTCTTTCACTTATTTTCAAATGAAGAATATTGCAACAATTGTAAAAAATAATGAATAAATTCTTACCAGTTATTAAAGCAACTTTTCCTTTTAATGATGCCATTTTCCTTGAAATATTATTGAAGCTGAAACGACGCTGTATAGTAGCTTAATAAGCAACGACTATACGTATAACCAGGGAACAGTGAAATTACACTGTAATTTCACTGTTCTCTGATATAACATAATAATAGTTGAACCCGCAAATACGTTTATAGAATAATAAATAAAATTTATTGTCCCTCTACCAGTAATTTTTTTTCACAGTTTTGTCAGTTAAATCACTAAGGAATACGGTACGTGTGTTGACTTACTCAATCTACTACGAAAATTAAAAAAAAATGTATTAAACATTTTCAGATTCTAAAAAAGAGAAGCACTGTACATCTCACAATTGTTTTCTATATTATATATTTATTTAGAAGAAGCCAATAATTTGTTAGGAAAAGAGGCCAATTGCTTCGACGGTGAACACTACTTTGAAAAACATCTTGACAGTCTGAAAGTGCAATTTCTGACCATCTAGAGAGAACAGCCTATACTTAAAATTTGCTCCAACCATGGTCGGGCTGAGGTGAGTGTGGATTTTACCTCTGGATGGGGACGTGGGTCGCTGTCGGTGACCCTTGGCCTCTTGTTAGGGAATCTCTGGTTACACCTTGATTGTTCAACCGTCAGCCGGGCGCAAGTATGAAAACGGAAGGAGCAAGGATGTACAATTTAATACCTCCTTGGGTGGAGAGTACTTGATTTGTCATTTTAAGAGAGTAGATATAAGCCTATGACGTAAATTCGTCAGGCAACCACTTTAAATGGAGCAAGCCAGGCATATGGCAATCAAATGGTTAATGTAGGCCTTATATTATTATTATATATATAATTATACATTTACCGTAAATTCAGGAGTAAGCGCCATGGCGCTTATAACATTTTTGAGGCTTCAGTGCGGCGCTTATAACAAAAATATTGGCGTGGCACCTACCATGCTCGTTCCCATATTACCTATGTATTCCCGTAGTTCTCAGTATGCCAATCATGGTCCTACCGGTACGTCATCGTAAATAAACGTTTATAAAGAAATGCTTTGTCTTCATTGTGTTATTTATTCATTTTAACACTGTATACATTGCATTTAAAACCCTCAGGTTTCTCAATGTGTTACACACAGGGTCAAAATATACACTTATTCGAAAACGGCGCTTAGGTAAAAAAGAAATCTGGTTTTGTGGCACCATTAAGTATAGTTTATTATTTGGATTTTTTTTTTTAAATAATTAAAATAAGCGACCATAAATTTGAAGTATCCGTCATGGGTGGCGCTAGGATTTGCCCGACGTGGGTGCCGAGGTCACCGACGGGGTGGGGGGCCAGGGGCGATACCTCCGACGAGGGGTCAGATTTCCCCGACGAAAGCCAGGTGGGCGTGGTCGAGCTTCGATTAAAAGGTTTCGAAAGTGGTCCAGGGGTCGAAGCCCCGAAAATTTTAACAATTTAGGGGATTCAAAGGCTTATTTAATCGATTTTAGAGTCTCTAATATGTAGAAGATACATATAATTTTTTTTCTCCCCGACGAATTGTGATTTTTCCTACCGAAGGGGGGGAATAGCTCTCCCCGACGGGGGTGGGGGCTCTGGCCCCCCGTCCCCCGCTGGCGCCACCCCTGGTATCCGTCTGAAATAATGACTACATCGTGTATTTGCATAATTGTCGCGTATGGATTTATTATAGCGTATGGATTTTGCTGAAAGAAGCAAATCTATCTAGTGATGTTCAAATAAAAGTTCCATTGGGAAGAAGGAAAGAGAAAAATGCTAAGAAAGAAAGAGAAATAAAAAGTTAACAACTACTTTAAATTTAAACTGAGAGTAATTAAGTAAGGTAGATTACCAGGCCGTAATACAACAGGACCTAACACACAGAAATACCCTAGTCAAAAAACAAATAAGTGTATAAAATTAAGGTACATGGAAGTAAAACACATATTGAGGAGGTGTGATAATTATTCTTTGCGTTACAAAAGGTCGTTGAAATTTAGCCACGTGTTGCGATTTACCTGCCGTATTGGCAGGAGTGATTAACCAATGTGGAAGCAGAGGGGAGCTTTTCATGACTAACTAAAAGGGGAATTCAAGGCAATACACTTTAACAGTATTTACGGGCTTACAATGATGTTAGCTTGGCAGCATACACGTGTCTTTCTGTCGATGAGGCCTTTTGTTTCCTAAATCTGCAAGGGTAGCAAGTAAATCTGGGCTCATCCTTTTGCATAATAGGTTAGGTGACAGCTTCTAGATATCATTGTAACATCGCATGCTTCGGGCAAAGGGACTGTCTTCTTGTCAGCCTAATAAAAGTTTTGAATATAAAAAGTAAGGCAATGGCCATGCAGTGCAAGAGGTATATTCTATGTACTGTAATTTAAACAGTATCGTATTGTGATGAACATAACACTATCGATTATCATATTAATATTTTTAGCGTAATTGTTTTGAGTGATATGAGGCGATAATTACAAAAACTTAACCTCCAATTAGAACGGCATCATACAACAATTACCATCAGGATCATTATCATCATCTTCATCATCATCATCATCATCATCATCATCATCATCATCATCATCATCATCATCATCATCATCATCCTATTTATCCTAGTTATCGTCGTCTTCATCATAATCATTAGCATCCTCTTTTACAAAAAGTACAATAAACAAAACAAAAGCAACAAAGAAAGAGGAGGGCTAAGAGTGGCAAAAGCGGTGCAAAAACTACTATCACCGAATATGGTGTGTGTCCCTCCAACTCCAATTTCAACATTAAAACACAAATTAAATAAAAAAGAAATTTGCCAATATAACAATGAAAAGTCAAGATTATATAATAGTACAAATAAATTTTATCAAATATTTGTTCTTAATATAACAATTAATAAAATTGAATAAAAGTAAACTATAAAGCCTAAATATAACTTAATATAGTCGTGTCAAGTGAATTCAATCTCCTCTCTTTAGCAAATTCGTTGCTCTCGTCTGTGAATTCCCTAAAATGGGAGAAAGTAAATTCTACCCCTATGAAGTAGTGGAAGGGAGATATAATTATGAGTTGATGCTCGGGAGGGGAAAATTCCCGGGATCTGTCAAGGAAACGCTCACGGTACATCGACAAACCAAAGAAATTTAACTGTACATTTAAATGTTCTTGGACAACTTAGAACTTAGAATATAAAAATGTACTGAAATTTGTGTATATAATATCACGACACTGGTTCTCGATTAAATCAATAACGAATGAATTAATAATGTTCATGATATAGGTTTTAAGAAATGGCTTGCATGCCGAAAAAGATGACGACGTTTTAATTATACACAACCATAATGCAATCATTTTAAAAATATTTCATCTCAATTTGAAACAATTTCAGGAATAACTGTTCTGTTTGTCATTGTAATTAACATTGTTTTAATTTTAATTTAGAATGACACATCAATTATGGTTGTTGATTGTTGCATATCTAGAATATTCACGTTCGTGTGCAACATGTGGGTGGGTTTTGATTGGTCGAGTCGTTTTTGTTAATTTTGTTTGCTATTAATGAATTTTCATTGTTACGTGTTTAACATATGTTGTCAACCATGTCTAAGTGAAATTGTTCAAGATATTGATTTTTCAACGATGATTCAAATATCTTTTAAAGTAAGATGTATGTACTATCTTACGGTGTATGTAATCAGAGTACATTAAATATTTTTATTAGTAATAGATGCAAGGAATCTGTATTAGTTTTTACAGTCCTAGTTAAACTTATTAGAAAATATTCTGGCTACACATTATTTGATTCCATTCCAGCATTACTATATAATAATAAACACAATTTTTAAATACATATTAAATATTTATTATATAGGTGTGAAATTGTATCTTTGTGGTAAGATACTGGCATTCCTTATTCATGGTACTGGTTTAAATCACCCGAAATAAAAATAAATAAAAGAACAATAAAAATAAATAAATAAATAAAAGAAATAAAATAAAAATATTCTCCACGAATTCGTACCATTTTATGATTCTCAATGTGACTACTTCATTACGTATTTTTCACCCTGTAATTGGAGATTGCACGTTCATGGACATAATGCATACTTAAACAATACATTAAATTTAAATGTAAATATAATGACGTTAGCAAATAAATAACAATAATATAAACGTGTACATATTATTACTACTACAATAATAAGATAAATATTTTTCAATCTTAAAATCATTTTTATATAGCCGGAGTTAGTTTTGACCTAGGCAAATCTTTGCTAAAAAGGTACACTTTCTCCATCAAAAGGCTTCTCCTATGAATGGAATGACCCGTTCGAAGCACAAACTCCTGTAGACCAAACCCAGTACCTTTCCGAAGCTAGTACAAAAACAGTTAAACAAGAAACATAAAATAATATCAAAGAGATACGAATCAACTGGTAAGGCCTATAACGAGGATTATCAAATTTGCAGCTATTATATTCAATTCAATTACAATATTTACCATTAATAAAATCGTTACTTTAAATTTAGTAAGATAATTATTGAGAGATTATTAAAAGTATTTCATTATTTATCAAATTAGAAACTATAATATGAATTTATTATTTAAATATATTTACAAATTAAAATTTACAATTTCAATATATACACTTAAATATCACACAACTTAGAGACCACTGAACAATAACTGTCTCTTATACACATCTAGATGTGTATAAGAGACAGGAGAGTAATTCAGTAATACAATAAAACAATATTTTTTTTATAACCTAATTATGTCTACAATGTCAATGTATCAGTTTCTACCTTGTACAATTTTACTTATTATATATCGACATGAATAATTATAGTGCTCCAATGGTGGAACAGCAACACAATATCAACCTATTCAATAAGATTTAAGTTACACACTTGTTTACTTATATTTTATTTAGTGGTATTACTGTATATATTGATTGTTTTATCATATTTATTTCAGTCGTTATATTGCCATAGTTCATTTTTATAGTTGGTTTCTGCTGAAAGTTACGATTTATTTTTATACAATCCTTTTGGTTTATTCAATAGACCAGTATATAATATATTTTTGAGGCGATGGTGGTAAATACCGCGTGGAATTGGGTATCATACCGTCTGTAACCAACCGTCAGTATTAGAATGATAAGAATAAAAGAGAAAGAAATGGATGATG